TCCTCGAATCAAGAAAATAATCACCTACATCAAAAGGACTCAAGTCAGCAACATTGAAAATAGAATGTACTGAAAATTTTTTAGGAAGATCAATTTTATAAGCATTGTTATTAATTCTTTCAATAACTTGACAAGGGTCATCCCGTCTTGGATGTAACTTCGTCTTCCTTTAAGACGAGAATCGCTCCTTACGGAAACGTACCCAAACCTAGTCACTGGTTGAAAATGATTTCTTTCCGTCCTTTATTAATTCTTGAATCAACTTTGAAATTTTGTTTATCAATTCTCTCATTCACCTCTTTCTGCAATGTTTTGACCAAATCTGTCTCCTTGTAGCTGCTTCACTCACAAAAATATTAGAAGGAATAGGAGGTGAATCAAGAGATATAAGTGGATTAAATCTATAAATAACTTCAAAAGAAAAACAATGAGTGGTACTATGAATTGCTCTATTATCTGCAAACTCTACCAATAGCAAACGTTCGTCCCAAGACTTAATATTTTTAAAAATAATAGCCCTAAGCATATTAAGTCCTGAGATAATTAGGGATATTATTTCCAAGAATATTAAGTCCTGAGACGAATGTTTGTCATTTGTAGAGTTTGCATATAATAGAGTAATTCATAGTACCACTCATTGTTCTCCTTTTGAAGTTGTTTATAGATTTAATCCACTTAAGCCTCTTGATTTGCTTCCTATTCCTTCTAATATTTTGGTGAGTAAAACAGCGCCACAAGCAAGACAGATTTGATCAAAACATTGCATAAAGAAGTGAAGAAGAGAATTGAGAACCAAAATTTTAAAGTTGGTTCAAGAATTAATAAAGGATGAAAGAAAATCATCTTTCAACCCGATGACTGGGTTTGGATACATTTTCGCACAGAGCGATTTACATCCCAAAGGAAGATAAAGTTATATCCGAGAGGAGATGACCCTTACCAAGTTCTTGAAAGAATTAATAACAATGCCTATAAAATTGCACTTTAGGAAGTATTTTCAGTACATTCTATTTTCAATGTTGCTGACTTGAGTTCTTTTGATATAGATGATGATTTTCCTGATTCGAAGACGAATCCTTTTGAAGAGGGGGAAAATGATAAGGATCACGGTGTCCCAAATGTTTCAACTAAACCTATCACACGATCCAAGGCCAAGAATATTCAACAAGCATTCATTCATTATCTACAAATTGGATAGGCTCGGTTCACTTTTATTTCATGTGTTACAAGTTGATTCAATTGAGGAAAGATCGTTTAGAGCTTCGGAAGTGAATATTTGCACGATTGTAGTAGCGGATGAAGTTGTTATAACTGACATTTGATTGATAATTTGCTAGAAAACTCTATTTATTATTTTAATTCCATAATTTCTTGTAATTGGCAGAAGGGTGGGAATTTACTTGTCAAACTCGTCATAACTTCTATTTTTGTGGAGATTTGAAGGGGAGTGAGAGTACCTCACCAATCATGACCACTAACTTCTTTAGTGCATTTGAAGAGTTGGAAGTTTCTTTTGTAGGGAGACCATAAATACCCATAAATTGCTATATAAAAGGCAGATTTTGGCATTTGAAGAGTTAGAAAGTTTCTTTTGTAGGGAGACCATAAATACCCACAAATTACTATATAAAAGGCATATTTTGGAGGAATGAAATTAAGTTCTCAAGTTTAGACTTTCACCCTTAGAAACTCGAGCATCATCTTTATCATTTCTAAGTTTCAAATAATTGTTGTGGTAAATTGCATCTGAGTCATTCAATCAAGTCTTGATCAAGTTCGATTGTAAAGTGATTCAATTTCGAACAAGGCTTCTAATCTTGCTTTTAGATCTTTGACCTTGAGGTAATCTAATTTTATCCTTGTCTCTTAGTTGATCCGAATTTTGTAAAAGGAGATGTTAATTTCTTTGATTTAAGAGTTCTTGCTTCAACAAAAGCTTGGATCGTTAGGCTGAGGATTAGGGTTGCCTTATCAACCTATCTCAATCGCCAAGTCTCTACGTCTCACATCAGTATAATCTAATGTCTTGAGCCATACGCATTCTTGCCCTGACCTTTGATACGACCTTATTTGTGGTTTGAACCAACTTGTCCCTATTAGTTCGCGTTCATCCATGTAAACGGTTGTTGGAAAGCTATTAGTATAGGTGAATTCCATGAGGTACATCTTGGAGTCTCAACTGCTTGAGAAATTCAACACATTAATATGTAAGTCTTTCGACATTTGACTCAGACATTTGGTCGGGTTGTCTGTTTGTAGGTGAAAAATAGTGTTAGAATTCAACTTGGTGCCCAACGCTTTCTGATAATTACGCTAGAAATTAGATGTGAAGCATGGGTTATGATTTGACTCTATTAACACAGACACTTCATACAATCTAATAATATATTTCATATATAGTTGTGCCCAACTATCTACAGTTTAGGTGTCCCTTTTGGCAAGGAGTATCTGAACTTAGTAAGTTTGTCGATGATCGTCCATATTACTGTATATTCTTTCAAAGTTCTTGTAAGCCTACAATGAAATCCCTTACTATATTTTCCTATTTCCACTCTTCAAATGCTTAGAAGTTGCAAGAACTTTGTTGTCCTTGAGTCGTCATAATTCATGTCACACGACTCTTACTTATTGACACATAATTTTCTAACATCCTATAATAACTCGTCTACCCTCCTCCTTTGTAACACCATTATTACACTCCTTGAAACTATTGTACTTCTAGTACCAACCAGGTGCACTCACAAGTATTTTAACTATCTCCTTGTAACATTTTTTTTTTTTTATAGGTAACCCTTTTTGGTACATGGTTTTGTAGCAAGGACCTTGGTCTATGGTTCTTTGCTCTTAGGTCGTGGTTCTTGTCCCTTATACACTCTCCTAAGAGACTTGTGGGGTCCTATGCCCAGTAAACAACTCGATTCTAACTTAAGCCTGAGACTTCATGCATTCTCCGCGATATAGTTGGATACCTACATCTAGGGCTTCATGTGTTTCCTACGATATATTTTGAATACGTTTGCCCAAAACTTCACGCGTTCCTTGCAAGATAAATGGGAGATAAAAATTTTAGAGTATTCAGGTCCAATAGCTTCAACTCATGCCCAAACCCCTCAGAGAATGTCACGCAGAGAACCATCGAACACATAAACTTCTATATTCTACCCACTTCACCCCATGCTATCACTATAAACCAAACTTCTCAAACTCATTCTAGCTAGGTTTTGAACTTTTAAGGGTAAATAACAATCCAAGCCAACGACCTTCAAATCTGATCAACCATCAGATGTATTGTTAATAGTACTAAATATGTATGATGATGACATTATCCTTGGTATGGATTGGGTGCCTATTCATCATGCCGGTATTGATGATTGTCATAAGAAAGAGAGAATATTTCGACACCTATTGGGAAGGAGTTTTCAGTTCCAAGGAGTGAAGACCAGGAGGATGATTTGTACTCGATTTTCTTGTTCTAGATAAATTTTTTGTGCAAAGTCTTCTAAGATGTTAGTTAGAGTATGGAGGAAATGAGTGTGGTAATATTCTGTGTTACCCCATAATGAAAACATAAATACCATCTTGAATGTGTTACAAATGCTGGGAAATATCTTTAGATAGTTGTGAAGGTCTTCACTGAAATTTTTTTGCAAATTGACCTAAAATTTATAGCATTGGAAACGTTATTGGTTTAAATTCAAACTACACCTCTGATTCATTCTATAACGTTGTACCGATAGCGGAAGCAAGATTGAATGTACTCACACCCACGAACAGAAATTAAACAAATAGACAAAGATTAGATAAAGATTTACGTGGTTCGAAGAGAAGAAATTTCCCTACATTCACGGGTAGTAACCAATCTTAATAATCAAAGTGTTTACGAGTGAATATCTCACTCTCACACTACAAAGTCTCTCAACAAAAGTTTCTCCTAAATGTCACTCAACAAATACAATGTGACACACAAACTCAATCAAATTCCGATATACTCAACCATCCTAGACAACTCTTTATATAAGGATAATTCATGTATCAAAATGATAATATAAATCATCAAACGTCGTGAACTTAAATGAGGATTAATAACCAAAATAAATCAATATTAAATAAGAATAATTAATTTGGTATAACCATTTTTTAGTTTATGAGGAGAGCAATATGATCCACCTGAGAAAAATATATATGAAAAAAAAGAAAGTGTGATATAAGTATGAGGATATTCAAACACATAATTTCCTGCATCATCCATATTCACATAAACACACTGGCTATTCCAATGCAAACACATGGAGGATTAACATATAATTCTGATTTAAATGAATATGTGCACAAGGATAGAAGTGTACCATAAGAATCAGGATATTCAACTTCATTGCAAGCTCTGCTTCCCTTTTGCTTTTGTCTTTCATTTTTCTTCGGTTTCCCCGGGTTATCCATGACGCAGACCTATAAATTAAGGAACCAATTAAGATTACGTGCGTGTGTGTATATATAGATATATATATACATATTTTAGAAAAGAGATAAGAAGCCAGTAAGTTGAAATTAAAAAAACGTGATTGAGGAAAATCGTTGAAAACAAGTTGAAATTATGCATTGTGAAAGTCAATTGCATTGAAAACATGTGGGCAAGAGAAAATACAATACTTAGTGATGACTACTTGGTCTCCCTATAGTACATTTTGAGGCGATTCAAGTCTAGCAGGTAAGATATTATCAGTAAGGGATATTTGCTACGTATTGTCACCTTATTCTAAGCTCTATAGTCGATGCACAGACATAACGTCTCATCCTTCTTCTTCTGGAATAGCACAGGGGCCCCATAAGGTGCCTTTGCGAGGCGGATGAATCCTACAACCTATGAAGACCGACCAATACCAAAAGCACAAAGACATGAAAATTTGAGTTGAAAGCACAAAAATAAAGCATAGGGGTCATCAAAGTACCTCTCCTTGCACTTCTTATAGATATCGAGGAATTCCATCCAAAGATCATTTTTCTTGATAATGCCATATGCGCTTTTTACTTGAAGACATAACGTTGGCTTTCCCTTGAACATAGCCCTTTTCTCAGCTGCTTTGAATTCATTGTTGTAAGAGAAAATAAGTTTACCTTTGTTGGAGAATTATGAAATATGACATGCTAATAACCCGTTAGGTTATGGAGCCTGAGCCTGCTACTTATTTATAGCTTAGTCAATAGTTATACATCATAAATGGTAAATTACTAAATTGTTAAGTAGCTAATAGAAAAAAGCTATATCCAGTAAAGCTATATATGGTAGATAGTTATACATAGTAGATGGTTATATCTGGTAAAGTAGACAGAGCTTTGAAAATGTATTTTCTGTATTTTCTCTTACTGTACATACCAGTCATCAATACGAATCCTTTAGTCAATATTCTCCTTGCATTTTCTCTCTTCTGTTCTTTGTGTTCATCTAGATTGAGTGTATGCGTTGTGCGATCCTAACAATAGATGGTTAAGAGTCCGGGCTAATTTCACTTTCAATATGCATCTTTCTAATATCCTTGCTCAATGATTTCACTGTCCAGACTATCTCTTCAATCTTAGGATGCGAATTGTGAACTGAAAAAAATGTAAAACTGGTTCCATCAACCTCAATACAACTCCATCCAGGAAGCTTTTTTAGACCAAGAGATCTCATTTGGGTCCATGCCACCTCCACTCCATCCCATCTACTAGTGGAGGCATAACTATGAGCCAGTTGCACATAGTTTCCAGCATCCACAGGCTTCAATTCAAACATATCTCTAGAAATAACCTCACCAAGTTCGACATTGCCATTTACACGACAAGCGTCGAGGAGTATGCCTAAAACATCTATTGAGGGTTCTTCAAACATCCTATTATAGAAGCTATATGCCTCTTCAACCTTTCCAGCTCGACTGAGGAGGTCAATGATACAAGCTCGATGCTCGAGATTTGTTGGCATACTGAAATCTTTAGTCATCGACTCGTATATGCTCAAACCTTGGTTAATAAGCCCACTATGGCTGCAAGCAGAAAGAACTGAAAGGAAAATAACATGATTCGGTTCCATCCCTGTGCCAAGAAACTCTGAATATTTTCTCAAAGCAATTTCCCCTTGTCCATTAAAGCCATATCCAGCAATAAGTGTACTCCATGTTACAAGATCTTTTTGCAACATATAGTCGAAACACTTTTGAGCATTCTCTACGTCTCCACATTTGAAGTACATATCAACTAGCGCTGTTTCGGTCATAATGCACGGAATAAGCGAACTTCTAAAAATGAAGTCGTGAATCCACTTTCCCTGACAAAGTGCACCAGCAGAACCACAAGCTTGAAGAAGTGAGGTCACAGTTATTGAGTCAGGCCTTTGAAAGCTTGTTGCTCTCATTTCACTGAAGAAAAAGATAGCCTTGCTCAAATAACCATTTTTTGCATGTCCAGCAATAATCGCATTCCAAGAAACCAAATTCTTTTCAACAATCTTATTAAAAATTGCACAGCTTTGCTCCAACCTATTACACTTTGCATACATGGTGACAAGGGAGTTTTGAGCAGGGATGTCAAACATTATTCCTTGCCTTAATATATAACCATGAATTGAGGTACCAATATGGTAACAACCAAGTTGAGCACAAGCTGCCAGAATACTAGCCAAGGTAGCAGTACCCAGCTCTACGTTTGATTCCACCATATGATAGAAGACCTCCAATGCATTGTCAGAACAATCGTTTTGAACGAGTCCTGAAATCATTGCTGTCCACAGGACAACATCCTTTTCAATAGTTGATTCGAAAACTTTAAGCGCAAAATCCAAACAGCTACATTTCAAGTACAAAACTACGAGTGTGGTCTCTACTTGTTGATCCATATCTAACCCATGTTTAAGAACCAAACCGTGCACCAGCTTACCTAATCTAATATCACATTTTGTGGCAGAGGCAGACAAAACAGAGCAAAATGTCCGCTTGTCAGGTTTGATGCCTTCAATCCTCATAGAATGTACAAGCTGCAGTATTTCTTCAATACCTACAATTTTGGAATAGGCTGATAATAATGAATTCCAAGAAACTATGTCTCTAGAATCCATTGACTCAAACAAACTTGTTGCATAATCAACGCTGCCACATCTACCATACATACTCACCATGGAGTTTGATAGAGCTAAATCTGACCCAAAACCATATAAAACAATCAAACAATGCAAACCTTGCAGAAGGGGAAGCTCTGAAATTCCAGGGAGAAGACTCAAGAAGGTAACAGAAGTGGGGTGGATTTCATTCTCCCGCATTTGTTTGAACATTGTAAAAGCAATGCCAACGTCTCCCTGCCGTGAATAGCACCCAATAATGGCAGTCCAAGGAACAACATTTCTTTCAGGCATTGTATCGAACACCTTGCGACCAAGGTGAATGCACCCAAATTTCGCGTAGAAACTAATGAGCGAAGACCCAATATAGGAATCGTGAGAGAGGCCATTAACGATGACAGATTGATGAATGGAGAGGCCATTTGAAAACGAGTTCAAAAGGGTACAAGCTTTGAGAAGGCTGGGAAACGTGTAAGCATCTGGTGGGGTATTTGTGTTTAGCATAGAAATGTAGGTTTGAAGAACTTGGTGGTGAGCGGCTTGAGAAGAGAGGCGATTTATGAGGGCGTTGAATGATTTTGTGCTACCATGGGTGATCGACTCATGGATTAATCTGTTCATATTAATCCAACACAAAATGAAACCTTCTATGCCAACTTCACCAGCTCCATTGTAACTTGTAACTTCAAATTTGTGTAGAATTGGTAAGTTTTATATTAAAATAATAATAAGACTAGGTTAATAAAAATATCAGTAAATTTTTTAAAAATTTTAATAACACCCTTTTTACCTTTAAAAAAAAAAATTATAAAAACTGTTACGATCTGTTTCAAAAATATTCTTAAATTTTAATTTTTTTATGAATACCTTCCACTTTTTCAAAAAGTTCAAAAATACTCTTGTTTAAAAAAAAAATACTATGAAATTTAAAGAATAGCATTAACCATTACCTTTATAAAAAAAAAAAAAAAAAGTT